GGGAAGTGGAGATGGAGGACGAGTCCGAGGCCGAGGACGACGAGACGGAGGAGGAGCCCGACGCCAGGTAGCGAGCTCCTCTCCCAGGCCCCGCAGCCAGAGTGCCCACCTCCCCCCACCTCCCCCAACCCCCGGGCCGCCGAGCTCGGGGAGGAGACCTCTGCGCACCCGCGCACCCCGTTTCAGCTCCTGGCCCTCGAAGCCCTGCACGTCACGTCCCTGGAGCTAAGCACTTTCTCTCCAGGGACGCTGCTTTGGGGGAGAGCTGGAAGGGGCAGGTGCCTGCGGTCAGCCTGAGTGACAGGCCCGCCTGCAGCAAAGCTCGTCCTCCGCCGCCCCCCTGCGACTAGTGACACTGATTCCTGGCGATGGACTTAGGGGCCTGCCTAGCTGCAGGCCTGTGCTTGCTGGAGTGCCCAAGGGTGGCCCAAGGCACAGAAACCATCTTGGCCGCCTGGGTTTGAAGAGATGGGGTGTGGGTCCCCCCTTCCCCCAACCGGTACTTTTGAAGGAACGAAGGTCGCCTAGGTGTCAGGCAATGGGCTCTCACACTGATCCACTCCCATCCAGTGGGCTCCGACGCGTAGCGACACCATAGGTTGCTACAAACCAAACCCACAGCCATCAAGTTCTTTCCCACGCGCCGCGGCCCTAATTTGAGAGGCCAGCCACACACTGAGCCCCACAGCTCTCGAAGTTCGCTTTGATACCCAAATCAACCTGTTGTCATTGAATTGATTCGGACTCAGAGACCAATCGATCGGGACAGAGATTTCTCCGAAGGGGGCGTATTGACAAAAACAGACCTCCACATTTTTCTCCTGCAGCAGGGCTGGTGGGTTCAACACCTCCCACGCTTTTGGTGAGCATTTTAATCACTCCGCAGCCGGGGCTCCTGCAGTATAAGAGTCCATAGCCTGTTTAGTGCAAAGAAGCACGGGGTTCAGTCAGCCTTGTTCTTAAAAACTGCTCCTGTTTTTCATAATCCCAAATTAATTTCAGTGAATGCATGTCAACGGGTAAGGTCTCCTTTCATTCTGCCTCATGGAGATGAGAACATGAGAACAACAGAAATCCTCTCCTCTCGAGTTAGCTTCATATCTGCTAGCCTTTGTGCTCTCTGAGAAGGTGTGGCTTTTATCTCCCCTGGGCGTGTCTGTCAGCCAGTAGTACCCCTTCCTAAGCCGAATCATACTGTCACAGCAAAGACTGTAGGTGTCAGACAGATATGCCCCATTGCCCCCAATGCCCTTCTTACCAAAGCTAAAAACGTGTGCTACCAAAGCCAGCAGAGCTGAAGTTGTAGCGCTTCATAGGATGGCATGAGGGGAATTGGCCATTCGATAAGAAGTCTTGAATCACAGTCAGCCTTGGTGGCACACTGGTTATGTGTTGGGCTGCCAGCCGCAAGGTAAGCATCTGGAAACCCCAGCTGCTCCGCAGGAGGAAGACGGGCTTTCTGCTCCATAGGGGCAGTTTTACTCCGGCTCAGAGGGTCGCTGAGTCAGAATCCACTTGATGGCAGGGAGTTTGTTTTCTTGGAGAGTTGTTTACCAATCAGAAGCCCTGTCGAATAAGCGGTGAGCCGTTAACCACAAGGTCAGAGGTTTGAACCCACCAGCCACTCTGCAGCAGAAAGATGAGGCTGTCTGCTCCTGTGAAGATTTACAAAGCCTTGGAAATGATCCCTAGGGTGGCTAAGTGTCAGGATTGACTTGGGGGCAGTGCATTATTTACCGGTCAACAGGCAAACGCAATCCTTGCTCTCAAAGGAAAAGGTAGGGAACACTATAGGGACTATGAGACTAGGTACTGAATGGTTTAGAGGAGTAGACTGTGTTCTGGGGAGGGTCAGAAGCGAGCATGTCGAGCCAGGGACCTACATTGAAGTGATGGGAATGAGCTGGGCCCTAGAGGATGTGCTTAGCAGAGGCATCGCCGGAAGGCAAGAGAAGAGATCTTGCCTGTGGTCAATGGAACAGGGAGTTTGGGGCCTACAGTGTCTGGTGGTATGGAGAAGGGTCAGTCTATCGACCCCAGCCATTTAGCCCTCCTCTCTTAGTGGTGTCCAGGATCCTCCTATTCTTGCCCAACCCGATTTTACCCTCGAAAGAATCTGAAACTCATTGAAACTAAAACATGAGCAGCTGACACGGAGAGCAAAAAAAGGTGCTGTCTAGGACTTGAGCCACAGTGGGGCCAATGGCAAAGGAGACAGCAGAAGTAGTTAAAGAGATGGGGAGATGGCAGTGGTAGTTAGAGACCGGGAGTTGGCAGTGGGGAGGAACTTCTAAGAGAAATGGGAATCCCCCAATTGTTCCTACCCCAGAGTGTTGTTAAGAATCATATCATTTTGTTGCGTGTGTGTTTACAAACAGAGCATAGAGTTGTTCTGAGGCCAGAGGTGAGAATTTGATGTTCTTTCCTTAACGAATGAAAGGTTGGGTTGATTTTTCACCTCTCTCCCCCACTTCCTCTAGACTCTTCCACCCAAGTTTCACAACTGAAAAGAGAACTGCTCGCTCTATCTGACACAGTGCTGCTAAGTGTTGACATTTCAAATCTTCCCAACAACACCCTAAAGTGATTGTGTTCCTGAAGCTGAGCCAACTGAGGCAGACTTTTAAGGCATGCTAATGTAATAGCCAAGAGGGGAGCTAGGGGTTCACGGCCTCTTCCTTTTGGGGAGACACCCTCTGCCCTCAATGGACTCATTATTTGCTTTTGGCTGGGACCTAAGTGACTCCATCTATCTTCTACTTTGAAAAGTTCTCGAGGAAAGGGGAAAAACTTGAATAACTTTGAATAACAGTGGAAGTTTTTTTCTCCCTCTTGAATGGAAAAGTGGTCTCAACATTTTCTCAGGACTCATCTCAGAAACTGAGTAGCAAACTGAATTTAAAAAACAAAACAAAAAAGGAGTGGGACAAGCTGTAGAAATACAAACAAACAAGCCCAAGTGTCCAATAACGATAGGATGATTAAGTTAGTGTACTTATTTGATGAGTCATTATTAAAAGATTATTTATAAAATTTTCTAAAATGCTAATAACATAGTAAATGTGAATATATAGATGACTTAGAATGCTCTTAATAATAAAATAGATCTGGAAAAAAGCCCAAAGAAAATATAGAAAACTATTCATGGTGATTATCACCCGATGAAGCTATTATTTTTTTCTTTATATTTATTAGGGTTTCTCAGTGTTTCTTTCATGAACATGCAGTGCCTTCCTGCATGTTTTAAAAAACAAGCAGAACCCAAGGTGTAGATTGCTTGTGAGTCTTTTTTTCTTAATCTTTCGAGTGTAATATGTAAAATTATCTGTAGGTACACCCTGCATAGAGGTAAAAATCCTCTTTTATTGTGAAAATGCTTTTCTCGTGTGGGAAATCTCAACTGTACACACACCACCGCTTACACGGGCTCAGAGAACTAGTGTTTTGATATCGTTCAGTGATTTGAAAACGTCATATGACATCAGGAAGGCTGCAGGTGAATCCCATTAGCCATTTTAGCAAAGGAACATTCCGAGCCCAAATTTTCTCATCTGTAAAATGGTAGCCCTAGTGCCTCATTTGGAAGGCTGTGGTGGGATTAAATGAATGATACGAACCTGTAGGTTTTTTGGTAGATTTCTAGTTTCCCTTCAGATGAATCATGAATGGTGCTGTGTCTGCCGTCATTCATCCCTGCAGGAGAAGTGATGCTCTCTGCTTTCAAGGTGAATAATGATCTCGTTGCCCCTTGGCATTATTTCTCCACTCACATTCATGGAGTGCATACTACATAGAGACTGTGTGAGGGGCTGGGAATATAAACATCACTGCGACCTCCTCATTACGTAGCTTCGAGGTAGTCGCATTCTAAGTGGAGAAACAGAACCCCACCATCACTCCATTCACGACCACACGAGATTTAAGAAAGGAAAGGTCTGTAGGAAGCTCCTCAGAGGATGGAGAAAGTCTTGGATGCATCCTGCCGGGAGGGGCTGGGAAAGGCTTACATCGCAGCATTGGAGTAGGGTCTTAGATCATGAGAAAGTGCCCAGAGGGCTTGTCGTTTGTGGATAGGCAATAATGATTTTAAAAGGAAGCTTTTGATGTTTCTAAAACTTAACATAAAATCATTTTTAAGTGGTATATTCACAAACCCCAGAGAATTGTAGGGTTGGGAGTCATTTACATTCCCAGAAACTGAGCACGCAGGGACATTGGCTCACAGTCGCATGGCTTTTTAGTGGTAGCGTTATGTTTAAGCCCAGGTCTCAGGACTGCCATCTAATGAGTTTACCCATTCCACAGCTATTTCTTGAACCCTTACTGTGTGCCAGGCGCTGCTGGTATGTGATATGAAGCCAAACAGTAGGATGAGGGGGTATGCGCCTTTAAATAGGGTGGTAAAGAAAAGTCCCCCACCCCCACCGTATGGCGTGCCACTTGAGCAGCGTGAAGAGTGTTCAAGGCAGAGGGAAGAGCTGGTGCAAGGGCACAGAGGCAGAACACGGACACAGGTGGCTTGTTTGAGGAATGCAAAGCTCAGGTTTCTGGAGTGAGCCAGCGGGAGAGGCGACAGAGGTGAGACCAAGAGGCTGTAGATCACAGCAGTGGTGACTCCTCCTCCAGGGGCGGGTGCTGGAACATGGATGGCGGTTCCAGAAGCAGGTGCTCATTTATCCAGGATTATGGGCTATAGCACAACGTTTTTAATTTGAGTAATTTTCTTTCCTGAAAAGGGAGCAGTAGGCCATGCACATAAGTTTGGAAACCTCTATAGGGCTTTGGAGGTCATGATAAGGACTATAGTGAAACGGGAAGACTTTTTCTCTCTACAGTACTGTTCAGGATTATTAAAAATAAAGGAAAATGCCATGAGTACATTTTTCAACAGTAAGTCTTTTAATAATAATAATAAAAGTAATAGAATTTTAAATAGTAAGGGTTTAGACATGCATGTTTTCATTCAGCAAATATTTATTGAACACGTACTATGTATGAAATGTTGGTTAAATGTTTCAGTCTCATGGTCTCCTGTATTCAAATAGACTCTCATTAATTTTGTATTTG